CTATCTATCTATCTATCTATCTATCTATCTATCTATCTATCTATCTAGTTTCTGATTCTTTAGTCAGTTTACTTGCTCCATTTCACTTCATCTTCCTACCAGTATGTAAGATTAAGCCTGGTGGCTCATTGTAGAGCATTTATGGCACAGCTCCAGTAAGCGTGTGTGTGTGTGTTCAGCTTCCTTTCCTCCCCTAATTATGCCTCCTTGCCTACATTAAATTATGTCTCCAGTTAAATAGTCAGGTCTTTCTTTTTTTTCTTCTGTTCTGGAAATCCCCCAGCATGCTTGAGGACCTACGAATGAAATATTAATTAGCGATGTGGATAAATGAGGGAATTCCTTTTCAGTCAGTAATTGGACCTATAGGTGTTTTTTTTAAATAGGAAGAGATCTTGGGAAAGAGGAGAAAACCTAAGAGCGGTGGTGGGGTGGTGTCGAGTATCTCCTTTTTCCAAATTCCTTATAGCCCACCCAGCAACTAGTTTTGCAGATTGAGGGTTTAGGGCGTACGCCCTCTTCCTTGTTTTTCCTACAAAGTAGTAAGGAATCACTAGGTTCCCAATCTGTAACACCTTAGCCATAGTTGAATGCTATGTGGAATGGGAGGCCTCCAGTATCCAGCTACTGCTGACATATCACAAGTACTGAGAATTGTCAATAACACAGTTTGCAAAAAATAAAAATTCTAATCCCGGCAGCGGGATAGACATATTTTCCAGTCTGCCGTACTATTTATTCGGTCTTCATAACAAGTCTATTTTTCTCCACCATGCGGATGCTTTAAACTATTTTGTTTTGTTTCATTTCATAGGACCCCTCGAAGCTGTACAAGAAGAGCGGAGAGGCTGGCCCAGCTACGGTGGAAAGCTTGCTTGCCGAGAGTAGAAACAGAGCCAGCAGCCCAGCTTTGAAGAAGCTTTCCCCGCTGCATTCGGACAGGCTGGAGTATGTGAAGTCGGCCTTCTCTACTCCCCTTGGCAGCCGCGATCCCGACTTGAAAGAGCGAGCCCAGGCCAACGGACCCCCGACGGTAACGGAGAATCTGGCCCAGCTGATCTCAACCTGCCCTCCAGCAAAGTCTTCCAAACCAAAGCAGAAGAAGCCACCCATGACGGTCGTGTCCGGATTTGCTAAGGATTCCGGCAAGAAGCTGCTGACGGCTGGGGCCGCGGCGGCTACGGTGACCAAGGACTTCCTGAAGAAACCGATTTCAAGTGGCGTCCTCGGCCTCGACTTGGGCAACAAGGAGTTTGCCAAGAAAACCCCAGGAACTGGTGGCGGTTCCGGGGGTTTGATTAGTAAGGAAAATGGGAGCAAAAAAAATCCAGGGCCCTGTCCAAGCGTGGCCGGGCTCACAAACAAGGACTATGAGAAAAGGCCACCCATCCTTAGCTGTCCGGTGGGACCGGTCAGCAAGGAAGGAGGAAAGAAACCCTTGCTTGTGACGAGCATGGCGCCGTCTGGAATGGCCAGCAAAGACTGTGGGAAAAGGCTTCTGGGGACCAGCAGTCCCATCGGATTGGTCAGCAGGGATCCCGGGAAAAAATCTCTCGGCATGGTCAGCCCGCCTGGATTGATTCACAAAGACTCACTCAAGAAGCTTCCGTTACCTGGAAGCGCGGTTGGATTATTTAACAAGGATGTTGCAAAGAGACACCTGGGGTCCGACGGCCCAGTCGGATCGGTCAGCAAGGACTCGGCGAAGAAGCCGACGAGTTTTGGGAGCTCGAGCGGATTGATTCACAAAGACTCCGGAAAGAAGCCATCAGCAGCCGGGCCCCCAATTGGGTTGATGGCGAAAGAGTCTGT